GGAAGTCCGTCTCGGCCACCGCAGGGTCCCACCCCCACCCCCAGCCCACAGGACAGTGCATGGTGCCTAGACAACCCAGTGCGGGCCTCCGACCTGCAGACGCTGGCACGCTTGCTGCCAGTCTGCGAGTCCTGCCGGGTTCTCTGCCCCTCACCACCCAAGGCAGGCTAGAGCTCTGCCCAGCCTGGGGCCCAGACTCCGAGGCCTCCGTCCTGGTGCGCTGCCACCTGGTGCCCTGCCACCTGGCACTTCAGTCCTTTTCCCCGCCCCCACCTGTCTCCTCCGGCCAACAAAAACACAGAGAAGTCTCTTTTTAAGAAACAAAAACTTCAGGCTTTTACAAAAACAATAGCCAGGCAGGAAGATGTCTTTGTTGGGACTTGTACTTTCCCCAGAAATCTCCTGGCAGACAAGGTGTCAAGAAAGGGCCAGCTGCCTCTGACGGGGACCAGGTGATGACCTCCACCAAGCTAGTCCTCCTCAGGCCTCTGCGGCTCCAGTGGCGGAGGGAGGGTGGGCCACGGCGACCACGCTGACGAGGGCTCAGAGCCGAGCTTCATGCACTGCACTGAGTGCCTCCCAAACACCCCTCTTACCTTACCATGTCATCACCCACCTCCGGCCTCACTTGACACCACCCTTAAAAACAGTATGTGAGGAAGTCAACTGCCAGGAGGCAGCTCTCACAGCCACAGCTCACTAAGAAGGGCAGGGTCGTGGTGCCAGGCCCAAGGCCCATCCAGCATTGGTGTCCCTTAAAACCTGCTGCCCGCCCATAACTCAGAGGGAAGGGGGAGGGGGGATGAGGCTCTCTCTACTGCACTGCGGAATAGAAGAGAAGATGAAAAGGAAGAGCTGAGAAACCCAAAGTGCAAAGAGCAAAAAACATCACCAAAGTCCCAAACCACCCTCAGCCCACCTGGGCCCTGTGGTCTATGATTAATAGAACAATGGGCGTTCCCTGCATCTCACGTGTGAATACCCTGCGCCAGAACGCACCAGGGAGGGAGTGGCTCAGGCTCCAGGATTCCCTACTGGGGGGGAGGGAGACCTCCCACACGCAATGGGTCTTTCTGGGGCACCACCTCTCCTCCAGCCAACTAAGGGGACTCATTCTAGAAGGAAAAGGCTTTGCTAAAACAATGCAGCCTCTTCACAAAGGAGCCCTAATTATTTGTGCTGTGCAAATGGGATACTGTAAGCTGCCAGTGGTTCTAGTGGCTGAATGCCAAGGCTGCTATTAACCCACACCGAGGCCCCATTCCTGCTGTACACACAGAGAATGGCTCTTCTCAGAGGGAAAGACCGAAGGGCTCAGACCAACTTAGTGGCTATGATGTTTGCTTAAGATAAAAACAGGCAGGTTGCTTTAAGGTCTAGCGGCCTTTGCAAACACTGCACTAGGACACAAACTCGGTGGACCGCAGACCTGTTTGGAAGTCAGGGCAGTCGGGAATAACATCAAACAATTACAAAGATAGAAACCAGAAACTAGTTGATTAACATGGATGTAACTATATCAGAGGGAAGTGATGGAGAATCAAACCTGCAAGCACATCTGTGTTTGCACAGAGAGAGGAAGCGAAAAAGAAATAAGTAAGACCAGTTAATAGATTGAGTCTTGTTCCTGACATTTTATTTGTTGCTGCTTAATCATTCTCTCTCTGGCTAGTGTCTGCCAGCAGCCCAAGCACTAGCAGGGGCTAGAAGTGTAAGAAATACTTATGGACAAAAAACTTGAATTAGAAAGTTCTGGGTATCAATTTTACTTGTTCTGAAAATTGGTCAATTTACAGGCGAGGAACACGGGAGCCTGTATTCAGAGGTGCGGACCTTTGTTAATACCCGACCTGCAGTCCTGCAAAGGGACAGCTCTTCTGGCCAATCCCTGCGCCTACAGATCATATTCCTCTAGCATTTACCAGTGCATCTCCCAGGCAGATTCTCGGCAAAGACTCCTGATGTCGCTCAAATGAAAGGCTCTCAGGGAATGTCCCTGAGCCCTTCCAGGGCGGTGCTGGGGCTAGCAGGGCGTTGGTGGCAATGTGTCTGCAGGGGACTCAGAAAGTGCCTGGCTCAGCCCCAGGCGTGCCCTTGGCTCACCGTCTCAGGGATGCAGGATCCTGGTCAGGGTGGGCCTGGCCTTTCAGAATGAAGCAATTGCCTCATCTCTTTCTTCGATTCTTAAAGAGCTAGACTGCACCCTCCCTCATTCATAGAATCTACAAACTGATATCTTGTCAGAAAATGCTATTTGGACTGAAAAACATGTTATAGGATGAGATGCTTCTCTGTGCCTCTGTTTTCCCATCCATAAAATGGAGATAAGAGTTGTGAGGACTGAGTGAGCTATTTATTATATGTAACTCACACAGACCAGTGAGAGGCAGCAGCAGCTGCTTCCTAGACGTGTTGCTATTATCACTGTAGGAAATGGTCCAGCGTCATACTTGGCTCAGCTTTTGCTCTGGAAGTACCAAGTAGAAGCATCATTAGCAAAAAAAGAGAAAACAATGCATTCAAGAGGTGCTGCTTCCCCCGTTCCAACATCAACAGAGGTTTCAGGGCCCACGGTGAGGGCTGCTGCCCGGGTGCTGGGAGCTGCCAGGCGGTGGCTAGATGAACTCTGGGCTGCGCCCCCTCCCCTGCCCTGGCTGGACCACCCCTTGGGAAGCTCTTGTAACAGTGTACGGGGAGAGGGAGGCTGGAACGCCACTGTGACCGCTGTGGCAACAATCTCCCAGGCAACGGCATAGCTGCTGTGTCCCTCTCATTTCATAACTGGCTTTCAGAAGCTGGAACCTGCCATGGGGTGAGCTGGGGGAAAGAATCTAAAATGGAAGGTCAAGGACACCTCTCCAGGGACATCACTTTTTCATTTCGCTCGGAATAAAAGCTATCGCTTCACTCTTCATCCTCCAGGGCAACACCCCGGCTTTCTGATGACCACAACTTGGAGGCAGGACTTGAAGGGAGTGTGTTTATTGGGGTTTGGGATACAAAGAGAAAGAAAGAGGAGGTATTGAGAAATCTGTCCTATCTAATCCCCCTTTTTAAGTCAGAGCTGAGAGCAACAGCTTCTCTGACACTTTGAGTGCTAGTGCTGCCCCGCTAAATGGGGAGCAAAAATGACTCTCGGGCGCGAGTGTCCTTGTGAAATCATCGGTCCCTGAGATTTTAAGTGAGATGTGTGTGCCCTCCTCATGCTCCAACCTCTGTACCAGATGTCCACCACCAGACCTTCCCCGGAGCCCAAACACACAATCATGTCTGAAGACCAGAAAGAAACTATGTGTCCTTTGGGCACCATGTAATCCTAATGCGGGTAAGAGCATTCCAAGTTAAGTTACTATTTGCATTTCACAAAGGAAAGCTGAGGTTTATTTAAGGCCATTAAATTGAAGCCAGAGTTTTATTTTCAAGTTTAATATATATATACGAGAAGGTAAAAAAAATTCCTTTGGAGGAAATCTATATATATATAAGGCTATCTGAAAAAAACCATTGCAACCAAACGGACGACCGAACAATAGGCTGTGTGTGGCAACTAGGCCCATAGGAGGTTAGTAAGGGGCAACCAGGTTGGTGGGGAGGGCAGCAGTTGGGGGTGACCACACCAGCAGAAGAGGTAGTAAGGGGCAACCAGGCCGGCGGAGGTGGGGGCAGTTGGGGATGACTACACTGACAGAGGGGCAGTTGGGAGTGATCAGGCCAGTGGGGGGGACAGTTAGGGGCAATCAGGCAGGCAGGCAGGTAAACAGTTAGGAGCCAATGGTCCTGGATTGTGAGATGGATGTCTTATTACCGGAACTGGCCTAAACCAGCAGTTGTATATCCTCCAAGAGGTCCCATATTGGAGAGGGTGCAGGCTGGGCTGAGGGGACCCCCCCTTGTGCATGAATTTCATGCACTGGGCCTCTAGTATCTTAATATCTGAGATGACTCTTCTATGGGTCAATTCCCCACCAAGAAAAATGGCAACAAAACGCAAGGCTTTTCACAGAGCTCAGGGCAATAAAAACAAAACTCAGTGGACATTGTTGTGATACCAGAAGCCAGCAGAACCGGCAACAGCTACAAGTCAGAGCTGAGAACAAAACAGTGCCAGGACAGGTGAACACCGACAGCTGGACATTGGGATCCAGGGAGACAGAGAAAGAGAGAGAGAGGATAAGGAGGCAGGACTGGAAGAGGCATCAGAAAATCAGAGAAAAGGTGGAAAATTGGGGTCCCAGTTGTTGAGGCAAAATTACCTCCAAAACAGACAAACGTTTCAGGGTCCCAGACACTCAACCTGAGCCAGTGGGTGGCCTGCTCTAGCCCAAAGAAAAAGAGGAGACATCTATAGATTTTGTTTGTCAGCCACCTGTTGCCCCTTCTTTGGAAAGAGTACTTGAGTTTACATGTGGGAGCCACATCTCCCCTCTCAGACACAGGGTCAGCCCCAGTGACAGCAGTGGTCACATGGTCCAAACCTGGCCAATCACAGAAGCCCATCACCCAATCCCAAGGTGAAGGAATAGGCTTGAGATACAAGACAGACCCATGAGAAATGCTGGGGACATGACTGAGACCACCCGGAGGCCAGAGTCAGCGCTGCTGGGAGCCATCTCGTCACCCATCAGAGAACAGCCTAAAAGGGGGCCTCATTAGAGGACCACAGGGGGTCAGGTTTTCAGACACAGGACAGGCGCTCCTGAGGCCAGAGCCATGCCTGGCCTCCTCAGTTCCCACAGAAGCCACAGAATGCCTCTCACACGCTGTGTGAACCGAGGGAGGGCCCATGGCCACACTGAGAGGCTAACAGTGTGAGAAGCCACCTGGCCCCCTCCTGTGGACGGAGGACCAGTTCCCCGGGAGCTGGCCGCAGAGTGCAATGGCTGCAGCTGTGGCCTCGCAGAACAACACAGCACAGCACGCTACTGCCAGGAGGCCAAGACCAGAGCAGCAAACGAGTCAGCTCTCCCCCAGAGCTGCCGACCTGGCAGCCAGGAGCTTACCTGATATACGTGGAATGCATTCGCTGCTTTGCCCCGGAGAAACACGGATGGGATCCAGACGTTGATCAGCGCCCGGTTTGATCTGATCAAAGAAAAGATTAAAATGGGTCATTTCAATTTACCAAAAATGGGGAGATTATCTTTTCCTCTAAGATGCATCATGTGCAAAATGTTTATGGCAACTTTGCATTACTTGGTCCCCAAAGATTATTTTTAAAGGGCTTAGTTTAAAAAAAAAAAAAAAAAAAAAATATATATATATATATATATATATATATATATATATAAAATTTACATTTTCAGTTTGTCTTCTGGAATGTGAACAAGCTGCCCCTCAGTTCTGAGTATCACATTCATAATGTATATGAGCCTCTGAAGAGGAGGATAACCAGAAGCCCGTGAAGATTCTGTGGAAGGTCGTGTGGTAATGGCCCCAGGGTCTCTGGAGCACTGGGGGAGTCATGCTGCCTCCTCACTGTGCTCACTCCAGACCCTCTCCCTGTTTTGAGAGGAGACCCCATGAGAAGAGCGCTCAGGAGACAAGCAGCCATGATTGTGAGAGCAACAGCTGTGGGGGAGGGGAAACAAAGAACGACGAGGTAGGATACCAGGGAGCCAGGAACAAAAACTTTGTGCATGGCTCACATAAAACCAGACTTAAAGTCAAATACAAAATCACTTACCAAGTACCCAACAACTTATGGCTCCATGCTTTTATACATATTATCTCAGCTAATCCTCATAGGCTATTTAAGGAACTTTCAAGGGTTATTTTGGTCATGTGACAGTCTTGCCTCCTTGAAGGCTTTCAACTCAAGTTATGAGTCACTGGGTATACACACCCCCTCTTTCGCCATCCAGCCCACCACCCCACGCCCACCAGGCTGGATCCAGCTCATGAGGAGCTGATAAGCTAACTGTTGCTGAAACATCAAGACCAATTATAAGAGCTATCCAACCAGCACCTTGCATGCCTGGAAGGGCTGGGAGGTTCTGGCCTTCCCCCACTAGAGCTACTCCAGGGCTAAACACGTCCCTCCTACCCCCATCCCCACCAGCCCTCCTTCTCGCCAAAGAGCTCCTACAAAGCTGCTCTCTCCTGTCTGGGAATTTGAGATGTTGATCATGGAAGAGTGACTCAAGATGTCTCACAACCTCTAGAATAAAGTGCACTTTATTTCCACACAGAAATGGTCCTCTCCTAAGCAGCATATCTTCTAAGCTCTGAGGTGCTGACCTAGTTCATTGAGCAAAATATTGATCATTTCCTCAGGGCTCCAAGTACAAATTGCAATTCTAAGTCACAAAATTGGTTTGTATATCTAATGATAGTTTTCCTGTAAAAGTCCCCCAAATTGTACCCGTGCCCAAAGTGTTCCCCTTTCATTTATGTCGAGGTGGGAGGGTGTGTGTGTGGGGGGGAGAAGTGCAGCTAACACCCTGATTTCCATTAGCCTTCCTGCATTGCTAAGGCCAGATAACCTCCCGGTGTTTCTCCCTTTCAGAGAACTTACCACACTGCACTGGAACTGCCTGTGTGCACGGCCCTCTCCCTCCTAGATATTAGTTCATTTGCTCATCCTTTTGTTTTTCACTCATGCATGAAACAAGTAGCTATTGCGAACCTACTATGTGCCAGATACTATTCCAGGTATGAGAGCGTGAGCAATGAAGAAAGCAGACACAGGCCCAGCCCTCATGGAGTGTGCACTTTAATGAGGGAGAGGCAAATCCCCATAAAAACCACTCGGCTGAGGTCGGAGAAGATACTTTGAATGACTTCCCTCTGTTTAGATTTACTGAGACTGCTGTGTGGCCTAGCCGGTGGGCTATCCTGGAGAATGTGCCATGTGCGAATGCTGCTGCTTGGAGGTACCTACGCGTGTTTGTTAGCCTTCCTTCCTCAGTGTGAGTCCAGTGTCCTGTTTCCTTATTAGTCCTCTAGTTCTTCCCATCATTGAGGGTGGGGTATTGAAGTCTCCAACTATCATGATAAAACCATTTCCTTTCATTTCTGTCCGTGTTTTACACGAAATGTTTTGCAACTCTGTTGTTAGGTGCATTTACGTCTGAAACTTTTACGCAAACATTATTTAGTGTCCATGCTGCGGGGCCCCAAGGAACACCGGCTCTTAGGAGTGGACATCGGGAGGATCTTGCTTCTTTCAGGAAGCAAGGTTTGGGCAGGGCTTTGGGGAACGCCGAGTGGGGGAGGAGAGGCTGAAGGTAGGAAAGGTTATTTCGGGCAAGGAATTAAAGTTCGTGAAGGGCATGGTGTCTAGATTAAATCTGAATCCTGCTCAAATCTGTCCTCTGTAGCCAGCAGCCATGTCAGGGGGTTGTTGAGGGACTGAGTTAGAACAGCGCAGAGAAAACGCTGTGTCTGCGTGGGCTCAGGAAATACGTTGATGGTCCTGAGCAGGGAAGACAGAGTGAGTTAGCGGTGCTGTTGGCCGGGGTGGGGTGGCTTGTGTGCAGGAGGGGATGAGAGCAGGCGGGGAAGGAACCAGGGTCAGCAAGGGCCTTCTGGGCACACCACAGGGAAGATCTGGGTCTCCAACATGAGAGAGGGAAGCAGCGCATCCCTCTGGCATGAGGGGAGATAAGCACACCTGCGGAGGAGGCTGCACACCTCTGGGGAGGAGATGAGCTGACTGGACCCGGCAGAGGCGGCTTAAGGCAGGGACTGCGACTCATCCCCCCCACCAAGAGCCTGACATGACACCACCCTGTAGCAGGTGCCGGCTAAGTTCTTACTTTAATAAGGACTTCCTTCCGGTCACAACTGACATGTCTCGGGGATGCTCCTGTCCAGCTCTCTCCTGCCTTCCAGCGTGGCTCCCCTGGCCCTCTGCCAGGCGCCTATCCCATTATCCTCCTCATGCTGGATTCACCCCACCCCTGGGAAGCAACTCACCTTCAGTTTTCATGCTTCACCTCTTTATCCACGGGGACTTCCTTATCCTACCAACCTGGCTGCCACCTGCGCCTCCGCTGCATCCACCAAGGCACCAAGAGGCTCCTGGTGTCCTCCAGGATTTTCATAATCCCACTCAATCGCCCCATAACCCTGCGAGGCTGGTATCATAACCTTCCTCTTATGGATGGAAAACTCAGGCCAGCGAGGTTAAGTGCTTGCCCGAGGTCACACCAATGTGAGTCCTGTAGCTGAGATGTCAGCACAGGCCAGCATGGCTCTGACAAGATGCCCTTTCCCTGCCTCGCCCAGCCCTCTCTCCAGAGGTGGACTCTCCCCAGATGACACCTTTTTTTCACAGGCCAAACCTTCTTCCACATAGGCAAGTGAATGAGACCAGAGGGGATTTCTGCTGCCTTAATCCAGGGCCCACTCCACTCTTTACTGATAATCCAAAGGGATTATCAGTCCAAAAACCAAGACAACCTGATCAGAAATATTCAGTCTAAAGGCCAACCAAATTCCTTAGGAGTTATCAGCAAAGACCCCAGACAGAACTGAGTCTAATAAAAAATCAGAGCAACGCACGGAGCTATTGTTCTTTCCAACAACCAGGGATTAAAGATTCAAATCCCCACGGAGACACCCAGTCAATGGAATGAATGGTGAGCCAGAGTCAGGCAACAGGGAGGAGTACGGACTGCGGTTCACTGATGAGCACTTGCCCTTGTGAAGGAGGAAGCTGCTGCTCAGCTCAGACTATGGCTTTGCAAGGATTTTCTTCTTTGAAAGAAAATAGAGAAATTTACACACTTATATGTGGTATATTCCAACACTTAAATGTCAGACAAAAAATAAAAAATAAATTGTTTTTCAATACTGAAGGGGAAACATAAAACGCAGCTGAAGGCCAGACTCGGGCTGCAGGCGAACACCTCCCCACCTCTACCAGAACCAGACCAGCCTGTGCGGACTTAAACAGTGATTTCTGTTTTCCCGTGCTGTCCTTCTGGGACTCAAGCCAAACCACAGAATCCTATTTCTAAAGGGCCCCCAAGCAGATGCAGTGGACTTACATTTCGAAATCCGACAAACTCTGATCTTCGGATGTTTGACTCAGATCTCCAGGCACCTGTCATTAGGAGAGGAGAAGGGAGAGAGAATGCATCGTGGTTACCATGGTTTGCATCATCACAACGGAACCCTGCCTCTTGTGATCTCTGAGCACACCCTGCTCAGATGGAGATGGAAAAGTAGGACTGGAACACAATGAGGTTCTGTGCAAGGATGGCTAGAGATGATGTTACAGGAACAAAAATATGCCACGAGCAATCTCAATCATTTTTACAGGAAAGGGGCTAATCATCCTGCCGAGATAATCACAGGCATATAAAAGCGTGCAATTGGGGAGCTATCAAGGCCTAGTTAAAATCTGAGATGCAAGATATCAAATGCGCAGTAGAAAAAATTATCCATTGTTGCAATGATGAACATCACACCACAGACACAACCAAAGCATAAACATACACAGCCCATGCCTGCCTTCTGTGGTCCCATCCTTCCCCTCATAAGAAAACCCCAGGCAGCAGGACAGGGGAGGACATGGCTGAGTGTGAGGCGAGCCTGCCTGTGTGATGGCAGCCACTATGTAAAGCAGACAGCACAATGGTCAGCACTGGTGGCTGCTCAATAAATGGTGCTCACATCATCACACTTGGGGATACATTTCCTATTGTAAGTTGATCGAATCTGAACTGGTTAGAGCTTAAAAATATGGATCAGTCTGGCTGGTGTAGCTCAGTAGTTGAGCATAAACCTATGACCCAGAGAAGGTCATGATTCAAATCCCGGTCCGGGCATTTTCCCGGGTTGTGAGCTTGATCCCCAGTGTGTGGTGTGCAGGAGGCAACCGATGAATGATTTCCTCTCATCACTGATATTTCTATCTCTTTCTTTCCCTCTCCCTTCTTCTCTCTGAAATCAATAAAAAAATATATTTTTTTAAAAGAATGAAGATCAGAACTAAGAGGAACCAAGTGGAACAGAGAAGGGTGTGGGGTAGTTAGGGAAAGAGAACTTGTACTTCACACTGCACACCTGTCAGAGATTTCATATTATACAACCACCTTCAGTCTGGTTAACAGTCCCAGGGGTGGATTCCCCCACCCCCACCCCCTACTACTCTACAGATGGACTGAGGCTCAGGGAGGCCATAGGAGTGCCCACAGTCACACATATACAAACCGGACATGAGTCCAGGTCTGTCCAACTTCAAAGGCTTTTCTGCTACAAATTCCCCCAGACAGAGGAAACACCAGCGAACAGGTGAAAGGAGAAGGTGAGACGTAGCCAGAAGCTCTGCCCTTAGAGCATTCAGAAGGTCCCCGCTTAAAGAAACAGTAGGTTCCCTTCAGAGGCAGGAGAACTCAGTGATTACGGAGCCTGTGCTCTGGGGCCTCATGGCTCCGGATCCAATCCCAGCTCCCCCTCTTCCTGACTGTAGAGTCATGAGCAAATCACCCAATTTCTCTGTGTCCCACTGACTTAATCTGTAAAATGGATATAACAGTAGTAATATTCATAGGTTATTCTGAGTTCAAAGAGACTCAGTATCTATAGAGTATGCAAAACAGTGTCTGCAGGTAGAAAGTCCTCAATAATTGACTTGTACGCTGTAATAACAATAGGACAGTTACTGAGAAGGAAGAGCAGTATGTTCTGTTATCCTTGACACTAGACAGGAATCTGTCCTGCCGGCCCAAGGGGTGTCTCTCACCTCACCTATATAGGGCAGCCCAGGCAGAGAGTGAGTCAGCTGGAGCCCTCAGGTGTGAGCTATGCGTGAGGCAGGGCTCTGGGCAGCAGACTTTGCTAAGAAGCTGCTTTTGAGAAATTCCTTCAAGCCCAACAAGGAGGAAACTTGCTGAGCAAGCCACTGGAAAACACTTCATTTTCAAATGATCAGGAACTTCTGTGCTGGGGGTCGAGTGGCCTTGCTGTTTGGGCGACTGTCATTTTCGGGTGGGTGGCTAAGAGAAGAGCTGGTATAATCTACCAGGGAAGCTACGAGGCTCCATGTCCCAAGATCACCGAATCATCCACATATCCTTTGCCCCAGAAATCTCACTCCAAGAGCTTTTCTAGAAGAAACAACCAAAGACCAACATTCACATCATTCCCTTTCCATTGCTTAGACAAGAGGGGGAGGGGGGCGGGGGGAGGGAAGCAAACAACATAAAGGTCCAATCACAGAGGAATGATTCAAGAACTTGTGGCATGTCCACATGAGACGGCCAAGCTAAGGATGAGAGGTACACACATTCCCAAGGGTGTAAGCATAACATAATTCTGGAAAAGTATGTAAGAGCATAGTGACCATGGTTATCATTGATGGTAGATTTAAGAGTGGGGTTGGCGCCGAAACTGGTTTGGCTCAGCGGTAGAGCGTCGGTCTGCGGACTGAAAGGTCCCAGGTTCGATTCCGGTCAAGGGCATGTACGTTGGTTGCGGGCACATCCCCGGTAGGGGGTGTGCAAGAGGCAGCTGGTTGATGTTTCTCTCTCATCGACGTTTCTAGCTCTCTATCTCTCTCCCTTCCTCTCTGTAAAAAATCAATAAAATATATATTTAAAAAAAAAAAAAGAAAGAAAAAGAGTGGTGTTGGGGAGAAAAAGGCATATTTTTCATTTGTTATCTTTCTATAAGATTAAAAAAAAGAGTACATTTTTAATGAACTGCTTTTTAAAAAGTTTAAACACACTTTTAAAGAAAATGATAGCATTCCACGTGCTATTTGGAAAAGAGCTCCAAGATAGATGATCGAGTGGCAGCAAAAGCAGGTGTAGTCTTACTCACTACCCTGTGCAAAAAGTAAGATGAGACTATTAAGCTGCATTTGGTTGTTTTGGGGTTTTTTTGTTTCGGTTTTTTGTTTTGTTTTGTTTTTTGGGTTTTTTTGCATTGAGAAGCTGTAGCGGTGAAATTTAAGACTCCAAAAGAGCACCTCTGGGCACTGGAGGTGGAGATTCAGGAAGCTGGTGTACAGCCTTTTATATAGTTTGAGTTTTGAAACAACGTACTACCACCCCAAGATTTAAATTAAAAAGTATAATCCCACCAATAGAATGCTTTTGATCAATTTTTAATGGCACAGAAAAAAGCTGCTGCTCTCTGCTTAATAAAAAGCTGCTAAGGACTGCAAATGCCCTGTGATTCTTAAAATAACTCACAGTGCATGTGTGTCTGCAAAGTCAGAATGAAACAGACCTGAAAGATGACAGTGGGAGCTGGCTGGCTGAGAGGCCAGGTGAGTTTGGTTATATATTTGAACTTTTCTGTACTTTCCACAATGAGGATGCATTAATTGTGTAGCCACATTGGGTATTAAGTGTGCTTCGTAAATTATATTTTTTCCAACTCCTTCCCCCAATGCATTTTGCTAGAATGCAGAAAGCCAGATGGAAGGGACTTTGCCTTCAAACTCTATGATGCATCAGGAATGGAAAAGGACAAAGGAAGGCTCTGAGGGCTCACCACCTTCCAGGCACTCCCTCCCCTTGACGGAGGGAGACCAATAGGAAAGGCTGGGACTCTTGAGCCTTCTCTGGTGGGTGTAGGTGGCTCTCAGCCTCTCGTGTCTTCAGAGCTTCCCCTCAGCACCTGTGTCTCTCCTGCCGTAATGAGAGGATGGGATGGAGAACACAGATCGGAGGAGGAACTGTGAAGACACTGGCTGTACCACTGTACCCTTCTCTGCCTGGAAATGCTGTCCACCTGGCTGGGTATTAGCCATCATCTGGGTTTACAGTAGTTGTTCAGGAACGATTGTCCAAAAAGTACCCTCTGCTCCATACTTTACTTCAGTGTGGAGCAGAGGGTGCTTTATCAGAAACATAATTTTCTATATTGATACTGGCCACCAACATCCCTCGTGGCCTTCTGAAGCCCTAGGAACCAGGGCCTCAGCCTCAGAGACTCCAGGTGATGAAGCCCACCAACCTCACCTGAGACCCAGAGGACAGCCAGTGCCAACAGCCACATGAATGAGCTTAGGATGTAACATAACCACCCAGCTGAGCCCAGTCAACCCAAACTATCATGAGATAAGAAAGTGGATATGTTTTTTAAGTCACTGAGTTTTGGAGTAGTTTGACATATAGCAATAGATAACCCAAAAAGTAATTTGTCCAAGGTCATTCAACTAGTCAATGATAGAGGTGGGCTCCCAATGATTGTGTTCTGGCTCCAGAGTCTGCCCTTTGCACAGTGAGCTATGCTGCCTCCCACAGGAAGCCCCGTGCTCTGAGTCTGTACCTGCACACTAGGAAGCCCCGTGCTCTGCATCTGCACCTGCACACTAGGAAGCCCCATGCTCTGCGTCTGCACCTGCATACTAGGAAGCTCAGAGACGGAGTTACCCAGATCCTACTGCAGATGGTGTCGCGGGCAAGCGCTCAGGAGCAGACGTGCACAGTGTACAAGTGGGTCTCAGCCTACGCCTATCTCACAGCCTATCTCTGTCACCAGAGTGACTCTGATAGGCGCCAGGCCTGGAGGCCAAGGTGCAGACCTGGCCCAGTCCAAAGCAGCTGGTTTCCCCTTGGAAGCCTGGTTCCTTCCCCATTTCCAAATACACAGGTCACCCTCCAGGCTCTGAGCTGAATCCTGAGGGAACAAATGGAGGTTCATACATTTTGAATTCTAATCTAGGCTCCCACTGTTAGTCAGAGAAGTCACCCGGCTCCAGTAAAACCTTGCTGTCATCCTGGCCTACCCCATGGCAACCAGCCTCTGACTGTCCTACTAGACAGAGTAACAAAGGGACCAACATGTGTCAAACACCAACAATGTGCCGAAGTATTTGTACATTTAATCCTCAGATACTATGAAGCAAATATGATCTCAAGTTACAGGTCCCTCCCGTCTAACCCCAGCCTCTCTGTGTGGCTGGCTCCTCTCTTATCTTCCCAGTCCCAGCTGAAATTGAATTCCTGAGATGCCTTCCCTGACCAACAAAACTAAACACTGCCACCTTCATGGCTCACATTGTTCAGCTGGCAGCGACTCCCATTCCAGTTTATCGGCACACTGGTCCTCCTGGGAACTCCCACGTCTATTCTCACCATGACACAT